TTTTTTTTTTTTTTTTAGCGTTACTGTTTTAGTGATTCCCATCGATTTCAGCATTCTATTTGCATTCTTAATTATCAGTCACGAGCTTGGAGAGAATCCACGATATAAAAATTGGTGGCAGCTGCATAGCCGCACTGCACTAGCTTTGTCACTTTTATCTGGAATTGATAATGAAGCATTGAGCGTGGCATCCTTGTATACTGGTAGCTTTGGGTCATTAAGTGCTCCATACTCACGAGAAGCAAATACACGGATTTCATATGCTACTATTTTTATTATAATCATTGAAGACGTAGCTCAATTTATATTCCTGGTGAACAAATTTTAAGATATTTATGTTTAATTAGTAGCGTTTTTGTTAGTGATAAAACTAATATTTTTTGTTTTTATATAGGTCATTTATCAAAAAGTTACTATCATCCCGGCTATTGTTCCTATTCTTGCACTTTCTTCATGCACGGCCCTTATAGCTATTAGAGCTATATCAATGATGTATCTTGCATTCTTTTATCAACATAGCCTATTCGATTGTTATGATAATGATGAAGTATTTGAAGAAGAAGATAGCGAGGTATTAGATGTTAAAAACGTTATTCAAGGGAGTCTTGAAGATAGTAAGTTTTTTTTCCTAGTATACAGTACTTTTAAACGGATTTTTTAATTTTAACGTCTAATGTCAAAACTGATATAATTCATGTGGCATCGATCAACAATGAAGAAAGTTCTAGTTCTGTTGAAAAGAAAAACCGGCCATTTTATTCTTATGGCTCTGAAATTGCAAAAGTTCTTAATGTGATTAAATGTAAATATTCATATTCGAATATGCAATTTGATTGGACAATTACTGGAAAATACAATAGAAGCGATAAGAGTCACTTAATGACATGGGTAATTGATAAGGACATTGATGGAAATTGCCATAAGATATTAGTATCTAAAAATAACTGTGCACCAGTCAGTTTCGATGGCAATTATTTAGGATCTTATTTACTACCCAATGATGATTTAATCGTGATTGCAACAAAGTGCATTGCAATTTTTACTCTCATTGAAAAT